AACTATATGAAAACTTGTTGCAACATATGCACTTTTTTTCAGCACTTTTATCACTTTAATACATAATGTTTAGTCTGAAACATCCATGGCGCTTTCCTTAGGTTAGTTTTATTACACTTTTCCTCTTCTTTTTTTTAATAGTTGAATGATGTGTTTGTATTTTATTTTTTTGCACAGTACTGCCATGATCCAATTTCTGGGTGTTTTGCAATTCATTCTCACATATGTTTTCACTTATCTCTTTACTCTTATTAGTTATTTGGGATGGTTTTTATATGGGTATTTACATTGCTTTAGTTAGACTTGATAAAGGCTCAGAGAGGAGCCAACATATTGTCTCCACTTTCTTGTTTCAAATAAAAAGACTGCATTTTAGAAGAAACCTCAGGTGTGCCTGGATATTTATTTTCTTCCATTTGATATCATCAGGGATTGGCCCTCCCTTTCTGGATCACCCGGCAGGAACTATTCCCCCTTTTTTTAGTGTGTGCATTATACTCTTGTTTGTTTGTTGTTTTTTTTTTTTTTTGCACACAACTATATTTTGTTTTGTGACAATATTTGCATCAAAGGAAGTTGCTTAGAGCAGAGTGCCAATATTTGTCAATTTAGAAGTGCCCATAAAATGTGAATTCTGGATTCTGATACATGGTACAGTACAGTGAATAGGATAACGCCAAATGTCAAACCAAAAACAAACAGAATATAAAAACATTGAGAATGGACAAAAACGCAGTACCTTGGCTTATGGTTAGACCCTGCACAGAATCTCAAACAAGTTTTTGTTTACCTGTGCTTTTGCAGAGAGAACCTATAGCATTTGATACCACCTATTATCCCCTTAAGGACTGAGCCAAATGTACACGTTGTGAACAAAACTAAATGTAAAAAAAACCTGGTGTTTGCGCTACATGTCTGTCCAACCGTAATTCACCTCTTTCATATTAAAGGCACCCACACTTATTATACATCATTTTATTCAGGGGAAACAGGGCTTTCATTTAATATCAAATATTTAGCTATGAAACATAATTTAATATGAAAAAAATGGGAGAAAATAATTTTTAGTTCTACATGACATTTTAACTGTCAATGTCATAATACTGTTTGCTTTTACTGCAATAAAAAAACACATATTTGTATTCAGCAAAGTCTCACGTGTAAAACAGTACCCCCTATGTACAGGTTTTATGGTGTTTTGGGGTTACAGGGTCAAACATAGCACGTTACATTTGAAATTGAAATTCGCCAGATTGGTTACATTGCCTTTGGGACTGTATAGTAGCCCAGGAATGAAATTTACACCCATAATGGCATATCATTTGCAATAGAAGACAACCCAAGGTATTGCAAATGGGGTATGTCCAGTCTTTTTTAGTAGCCATTTGGTCACAAACACTGGCCAAAGTTAGCGTTATTATTTGTTTGTGCATGAAAATGCAAAGGTATCACAGTAAAAAGTATCACAGCAAAAATATCGTCCGTGTAAGTGCTCTTTGTGTATGAAAAATGCAAAAAAAGTCACTTTTACAGGCGATATCATCGTTGTAATACATTTTACTGTTTTGAAACACTAATATTTGTGTTCAGCAAAGTCTCCGGAGTAGAACAGTACCCCCATCTATAGGTTTTATGGTGTCTTGGAAAGTTATAGGGTTAAATATAGTGCTAGCAAATGAAATTCCCTTTACTTTCGGCATGGGTTGTCAGGCAGGTCCCGCTAATTGTAATTAATTAAGATACCTAATTATGTAAAAATATTACATAAATATATATGTAGAATTAATATATGTATATATACGTATGTGTATATATATATATATATATATATATATATATATATAATTTTTAAAAAATATTTTTATTTATATATAGGTATATATATATATATATATATATAGTGATATATACATATATATTTATGTATATAGATATATATATTTATTTCATTCTACGTGTATTTTGATATAAATATATATATATATATATATATATATATATATTAATATCACAATACAGTTAGAACAAAATTACACACATCTATATATTTTTTAATTATTTATTTTTCATTATTTTTTAACGTATTTACATATTTATTTTTTATATATTATATATAAATATATCTATATAACAATAATTATATATATATATATATATATATATATAATCAGTATCAGTCTACGTGTATTTTGAGAGAGATAGAGATATAGATATATAGATAGATAGATAGATAGATAGATATAGATATAGATATATAGCTAGATAGATAGATAGATAGAGATATAGATATATAGATAGATAGATAGAGATATATAGATAGATATATAGATAGATAGAGATATAGATATATAGATAGATAGAGATCTATAGATAGATATAGATATAGGGATATAGATAGAGATATAGATATAGATATAGAGATATAGATAGAGATATAGATAGAGAGATAGAGAGATAGAGAGATAGAGAGATATATATAGTAAAATACACCTAGACAGTGTTTGTGTGTGTATGTATGTGTATATATTTTTTATTTATATATATAATATATGTATGATCTAAGTATATAATTTTTTTTTTTTTTACACTTATAAACTTTAATTTTATTTGAATTCAGCCAGCAGGGGGACTAACTGTCATTACAGGCAGTCCCCCTGCTGGCAATGCAGCAGGCAGCTAGCCCGGCCATGTGATTGGGAGGTCCTCACAAGGACCTCACTCTCACATGGCCGGGGGGGCTGCAGGAGGTCAGATGTGCCACGGGGGCTCCTGGGAGTCACCCCAACCGTGATCGCCGGCGTGGGATTGCTGCGACCGGGTAAGTAAAAAAAAAACGGAGGGCGTACTAAGAGCCGCCTAAAATAAAAACATTGAATAGATATATTAAAAAAATAATCACTTAATCCCTGGACGCTGAGAGGGCCTTCAATCGACTCAGTTGGTCCTTCCCACAGGCAGTACTCCACACATTTTCGTTCCCATAGCAATTTATTAATGTGATCAGAGCCCTATACAACCATCCAACTGCCAAAGTAGTGACAGACGGATTCTGCTCTAACACTTTTAGGATCACAAACAGGACGAGACAGGGTTGCCCGTTGTCACCCCTACTACACGTATTAGCACTAGAACCACTAGCAGCCAAAATTAGAGACAAAATTTCCATAAAAGGGGTCACGTTGGGAACAGAAGAATATAAACTAAGCCTATTTGTGGATGACATCTTTCTGACACTAACAGAACCGTACATCTCACTGCCCAACCTTATGAGACACATAGAACAATATGGGAAATACTCCTATTACAAACTCAACTTAACCGAAACACAAACTGTTATGGACAGATGAATTAAAATAAAATGGCTATTTACTAATGTCTATTTATTCTCTGTTCACTATGTTAAAACTGGCTTCTAGAGTAAATATTCCCTTCCCCCCGTACAATGTGGTCAGCTGCTGTTTACTATGTAAATTCCTCACATCCTGCTAGCCTCCCCTCCCCCACTACCTTTGTGCCAGTTAACAGCTATATGCCATATATAGCTAAATGGAGGATCATTGGTTTAGAACTGATAGATACCACTCACTCCCCCTCCCATCGTGTATCCAAAAGTGTGTAATGATGACACTACATTCTGTAGGGGGGTTTAAACAAGAGCCCCCTTTCTCTGTTAACCAATTGGTGAATGTATACTGTATGTTTAAACTGTGACGTATTTTTGCTTTAAGAAGGAGCCCCCACTCCGGGGAATAAAGCATTTCTGGGTTTTTCACTGATCAGAAACTTTGTCTCCGGTGTGAATTACTTCTAGGGAAAGCGTGCACGCATTAATTAAACAATTTGGAAGGTGTAGATAGACAAATAATCAAAGTTTTCTTTGATCCAAAACAATTTGGTGGAGATTGCGGGCATTTAAGGGATACGTTACTAAGGCAGCCGTCAGATCCCAAGACAGGAGAGCAAAGGATTCCCAGAGATTGGAAACGGAGCCTGATCACCTCTGCATATGGTAAATGAGTTACTTACCTATATTTTCCTTTCTTTGGATTTCTCTTGTTCTCCATGCCTTCACATTCGGCTTCCGGTGTTTAACGTCTTCAGACAGGTAATATATATATGCCCGAATGTCCCCTTTTATATAGAACCTGTCACTTGTCTATCTACAGCCTGAGTCCTGAGTGTGAGTTTTATGTGTGAAAGTGTCTGTTTGAGAATCTGTTTTACTACTTGCTTAATACTGTTATATAATGCTGCCAAGTGTGGTTAAGCACTTGCAGGTTTAGCCAAGTTCGGGTTTGGTGGAAAACCCCTGGCTCTATATTTATTTTAGCTAAGCTTCGGTAAAGAAGTTATTGCGAGACTCGGTCAAGAGTTTAAAAAATAAATAAATAAATAAATAAATAAAATAATAAAAAAAAAAATAAATAAAAAATAATAATAAAAAAATAAAAAAATAAAAAAATGTATTTTAACTAAAACTTCGGTAGAGAAGTTATTGAGGGACTCGGTCAAGAGTTTAAATAGCTAAGCTTCGGTAAAGGAGCGGTTTATGTGCTTGAGTGTTTCTGTGTGTGTGATTTGATTTATTGTAAGCCGGCATTTATTTTAAGAACTTTGTGATTTAATTACATCTGTATTTTGTGCTTTTGTCTGTGTATGTCTTGTTGGGTACCATATATGTTAATTGTAATCTATACAATTTGTATCGTTACTCTCCTATTCTATCTTTTGTCCTAAGGAGAGCTGTGCTTAGGCAATCACATGGTTAAAAAACTTTGTGCTTGCAAGTCTTCCTCCCTCCTCCCCCTCCTTCTTTGTTGCTTTCTCTTGCTCTGACTGCTATGAGTATTGGCTACAGGGGGGTGGGGTGAATGGGTGAAATGCTTGTAAACTCAGTGAGGAATGTGAGGGAAACAAGGTATATTTGCTGGACGAATAACCTAGTTAGGAACTTTGTGTAATCTTGTATATGTTGTTAAGCAAGAGGTTATTGGCATGTTGGAATAAGGAAAGTTAGATTTTGTTGGAACAAATGAATTGTGGAATTTATAAATGATATTGCAGAGAAAAGTAAATTGCAGTTTGCATTTAATAGCAGCTATTCAGATGCTGTATTGTGGCAATCTTTATACACACAATGTGAAATTGCCAATAGTGAAATTGACAAGAAATTGTTTGTTAATAAGAAAAAAAAAAGAAAAGAAAAAAAAGATCAGAAATGTTATGAAACTAGTCTGTACTTACAATGCATTGATTTGTAAACGAAATACAGGTAAAGAAAATTTAGAATCAGCAGAAAAAGAAATAGATTTGAATGGGTTAACAGAAGACAAATCAGATTTAAATGAACAGTGTAACAATGTAACAGAGAGAACATTGTCAGAAACAGTCTGTGAATTAGAGGATAGAGTTGAACTAAGAAATGATCTTATTTGCCAGCTTAGAAATGAAGTTAAGCACGAGTGTGTGTTAATACAAGAAAAATAAAGGCACAGAATCTAATCCCAGAACCAATAGATACTGAAAATGTATCCTCACAGAGTGATTTGCAGAAATATAAATTTCAAGACAGAGCTGCAAAACTTAATTTGAAGATCCATGAACAATTAATGAAAATTGTGAAATGTATTCCAGTTTATGACACGTCAGTGGATGCATTCACTAATGCTGAAATGTTTGAGTCTAATTTAGACAAATACAGCCTAAATGACGTACAAAGGAATAGACTATTTCAAATATGGCTGCCGACTCAAATGGCATGTAGGCTGACCGCGATTGTAAAATTTGAGGACAATGGTGAAATAATATATGGAAATAAGCGAGACAGATTAACACAATTAATAAAATTAACAACAGGGAATGATTTTGCAGACACTGAAATGTTGGAAAAACTAAAACCACACAAGGGGGAGGATATATTTAGTTTTCTTGTAAAATTTGAAAATGCACATAGACTTGTTGCTGATTTTTCTGAAGATCAGTTAATTAATGAATTTGTGAAAAAATTTCAAGATCTAGATCCAACTGCAATTGTGGTAGCTAGAGAAAAAATAACTTTGACAGAAGTAGCTTTGTTCTTGGATAACTTAAGGAGGGAAACCAAGAATGAAGGGGTTAAAACGACTTGTGGCTTTAGGCAGAGAAAGAAGTGCAGATGTTACAGCCCCCGTCCTCCTCCTTCTTCTTCTTCTTCTTCTAGGACAGAGTGTAGAGTGATACAGACAGCTGAGCCCCTCCCAATTTATTCAACTAAATATAGGGCAGTTGATAATATAGGGCAGAATATAACTCCTAAAGTTATTTGTTTTTGGTGCAATAAACAACATTATTTAAGATCTTGCAGATATTTTATCCGAGATATCAAATCAAAAGCAAATGAGAAATTAAATTTGTTGATTGAAAATTTTGACAGAGAAAATACATGTGGAGATAAATCAATAAAGGCCTTTCCTTGTAAACTTATAATCAGACAAATAAAAGCAATTTTAGCTAAATCGAAATTAGGAGACAGACAAGCAATGCAGCATAACACAGAAAGTTATAAGAATCAGATAACTTAAAGAGATATGATCAGTTTAGGGAATGAGCATGGATATGTGTGCCAACAGAGGTACACAGGCTGATTCCAGAATTAAGAACAGCCAAGAATAGAGTTCTATGTTAGTTTGTTTTAATGAAATGTTAGTCTGAACTGTTTTTTCATTGTTTTATATGTATTTTAAGAAAGTATTAGGTTAATTAATTAAAATAAAAATGTACATCAAGTTTGCAAATATGGCAGAATGAAATACACTAATGTAGCAGTGAGGAACATGCAATGTATGTTATATTGGGTGTATGCAATTATACAGTAACTCCAATCATTTTACAGAAGGTAAAAACAATGTTGTTACTTCTGAGGTTGATTTAAAATCTTTGATTTAATTAATGAGAATGAGATTTTACTATCATGACTGATAATGGATTACTGTATATTGCAACGCCTGGACATACACATGGTTTGGATATACTGAAGACAAAAGGAATAATATATGGGAATGGATAAGGCTGATTTCCCCCTATCCACAGCCACGCCTACTCCTAAAGTAACATCGCGTACATCCTTACTATGCCCTTTTACTGTAGAATTTCCCGAATCCTAATGACCCATTCCACTACATGGTGTGACTTGTTTAAGCCTAAGATAAATTGGCTGATCAGGCTACCTGTATTAACAATGTCATCAACGATGAGTTAGCATCTGTGGAGAAGCATCACTTCAGGTTGTCCCAAATTTTCTTTTAACTTAAGTTTTAGTACATAGTAAGGCCCATGCCCAATAACTATATGCAGCCTTGTATAGCAGGCCACATGACATCTATTTGTACCAAGCAAGGCCTGCCTGACTCCTCATTCCTGTCTAACATTGTTGTCTCCTGCATAAGTGTAGATGGCTCTCCTTGGAGTAGCCTGTTAACTAAGCCTTGCTTTGTGGTTACCTTCACCTGTCCAATTAATCTGCTAGGTGCAGATGTCCTTCCCCCACTTGCAGGCCCCTATCACCTTATTATTCATTTTGTTCCACACAGTGAAACCTGACCAAGAGGCAAGGGTCCTAGCTAGTTCCCCCAATACCTTTACCTGAATTATACAGGCCCCAAAGCCTGTCCAAGCTCTTACTATTCCCTAACAGGTTAAGGCTCTGGTGTCGAATGTTGCCCTGGTTACCTGAGACTTTCCATGCAATATCCCACCTCTCCTTGTGATGGACGAATTCTGTGCAGGATAATGTCACCCTGCAGGGATGATACTCTATTTACCTGGCCACTCTTCTGCCACTTCCCAAGGGGGGAAATGATAAGACACTGACTATTATTTTTTTTTTAGCCTTTTTCTTATGTTCTGTTCCGGATTTGCTGTCACTACAGTGGACCAAGTATCTCACCTCAACAATGTCTGCACAAGAAGCTGAGCTATAGACTCCCATCACACCATGCAAGATCTCTGAAGGAAGACTGAACTCAGAGGAAGCATGTGGCAGCTCTCTGGCTGACTAAGTTGTTCAAAAAGTTGTAAGTGCACTAAGGGAAGTGGACAGAAAAGTGTCTGCTGAAGAAACTCCCATATTCACCATGTAAGATCCTACCCACAGACATCAAGCTCCCGAAGGAATAACAAGCAAGCTACTGACCCTGGAAAGAAAGAAAAAACAAACAAACCACAAGCTGGAAACAGAAAGGGGCAACTCTTAAAGACAGGCTGTACTTCAACAATCTCAAGTTATACTTGCCCAAGAACATATACTCAGCAGTGGTCAAGTGGGCCTACGGAGCATCTGTCCAGAACCCTCATGAACTCTTTTGATCAATAAATACTCTGAAGTACCAGGAATTGCCTCTCTGACCAACAGTTACTGTAAATCTTGTGCCATTTGTGCCAAGGGCAACTCAAGAAGAATGGATGAAAGCCCCAAGCATCTAGCCAAACCTCATTATCTCTTCCAGAGGAGTCAAGTCGCCAGAATGCCAAAGAGTGGCTGATTCAAATATGCACTAATTATAGCAGACATGTTTTCAGGATGGCCAGAGGCCTATCCAGCCACCAAAGTGATAACCAAGACCACATGCTGAGTAGTGCACCGTGAAAGATACAGAGATCACCCCGTGGGTTCATCATTCCAGAATCAAGCCTGCCTCTGCATCATGTGAAGTAACATTTGTTGATCTTGACAACCCTTTTTGAAACTCCATTCTTAGAGAACAAAGATACTTGTTGAAAATAAATAAATAAATATCAACAAGTGGGTGTTTTGATGGCCATAATAATGCCTGACCACCTGCCATCGATGGAAAGCTGAATACCCCAAAAGGGGACCTCGTGAAACTAAAGAGAAACAAACATACTCCTTACCCTGCAGCCCTCACGTCTGAGGTGCCATACGCACAGTCAAAGCTTCTTCAAGATCATCTGCTTATCTTGAGTTTGTGGTGATATTAATATTGAATGTTTAAATGATCTGAATCTGCCAGTACTAGGGTAGCATGAGACAAGATTTCTAAGAATAAGTAAATGTGCCCTAGCCTAGGTTATTATGTCCATACACATAACACATGACAATCCCCAAGGTACTCTTGACACACCTCATTCATGCTTCAGGACAAAAAGGAGTACCCCTATAAAGGGTGGTTTTACCCACACATATATATATATGTATATTAATGCCATAGGGGTGTCAAGGGGGGTACCAAATAATTTTAAGGTAAGAAACTAAGTTTGAATCTATTCTCCCAAGCATTACGGCTAATAAAATCTGAATTGGAAGGGAAGAGGTTTATACAATAAACAGGAGACCTTTTTCTTACAGGACATGTATGACTCAGCTGAATGGGTAGGTGCCACGCACATGACTGTTAATCCCCTCAAACCACACATTAGGACTTTAAAAGACATGGTAGTCATCCCATATTTGAGGATAAGAGGGCTGTAGAGACAGGTTTCTCTGACACTAACTTGTGACTTGAATGGATGAAATACAATGCTACTAAACATAACAAGTCTAACTGCTATGTCTGCAGAGGAGCGAGGCCTCACCCAGGTACAGTATCCCTGAACCTTCCTCCGGATATGAAGTATGCGTTTTAAGTCTCTACACTGTATTTAAACCTAAGCGGTCAGCATGCGAGTCATGGAAACTTAATACCCAATCATTACTAAAAATATTAACCCAGACGAAGGCATTACTATATAGCCCGGGAACTATACTTGTTATGGGATATATGGTGGGATAGGGCGGTTACAAACTATCTCTCAGATGACCTTCCAGAATAGAATAAGCTTGGAAATGATTTTAGCAGAAAAAGGGAGAGTATGTAAAATACTCCCAGACACCATGACATGCTGTACCTATATTCCAGATAATACAGGCCCTAATGGTAAGGTAACGTTGGCAATAGAAAAGTTAAAGAGTTTGTCCAATGAACTGAAACGAAATTCTGGGGCCACAGATCCATGGGAAAGATGGTTTGGATGGATGTCTGAATGGCAAGGTGCTCTGGCCCAAATAGGTGTTGCCATTTAAATAACGATAATCATCCTCGCTCTTCTTGTTTGTTGTGTGTTACCCTGTCTTAAGAAATGCCTACAAAAGACAGTTGATCAGGCAATCGACCAGACCACCCCGACCTTCCTTCACCAAGAGATTGACGATATCGACCGTGATACACCACATACACCCTTACAGTCCCACCGCACTAAATCAACAGCTACTTCCTCTTAAGGACATTTAGGGATAGCGTCTGTCTCTACGGGCAGAAGTCTGCCGCGGGAGAAGTAGTGGACAAGCTGCTATGGGGTACCCGCGCAGTGAAGTGTTCGAGGCCTGTTCAGACAGATGTGCAAGATAGCCTTTTGTTATTTTTCTATAGGGACAGTATTAGAATGAGAGATAGTAGTTTTAGTAAAAATTGCCATTTTAAGGGGGGACTGTTATGGACAGATGAATTAAAATAAAATGGCTATTTACTAATGTCTATTTATTCTCTGTTCACTATGTTAAAACTGGCTTCTAGAGTAAATATTCCCTTCCCCCCCTACAATGTGGTCAGCTGCTGTTTACTATGTAAATTCCTCACATCCTGCTAGCCTCCCCTCCCCCACTACCTTTGTGCCAGTTAACAGCTATATGCCATATATAGCTAAATGGAGGATCATTGGTTTAGAACTGATAGATACCACTCACTCCCCCTCCCATCGTGTATCCAAAAGTGTGTAATGATGACACTACATTCTGTAGGGGGGTTTAAACAAGAGCCCCCTTTCTCTGTTAACCAATTGGTGAATGTATACTGTATGTTTAAACTGTGACGTATTTTTGCTTTAAGAAGGAGCCCCCACTCCGGGGAATAAAGCATTCCTGGGTTTTT